ATAGAAAATTTGAATAAGGTATGTAAAAAAATGTAAAAAGATAGACAGAAAAGAACAATTCATTGAAAACCTTACATAATTGATATTTCATGGTAGTTTTTTGACAAGACAAAGGCGCAAGGACATTTCAATCAGAAGATGGATGAAAAGAGAGAGAATTTGCCTAACGTGTCTCAGTCTTTTTGACGTGAAGCTTACATAATGCCAACTAAAATTTTGGCAGTACTGGTAAATATCCTCCTCTCATGTGTGGAAAATCGAGGACCATTTTATCTTAATACAATAATGTCAATGATTTTTTTTCATTGGAATTATTCATAAATTGACTGGTTGATGGATAAACTCACGTGATAAATAACTTGGGAGCTTGAAATTCAAAGTTCTGTTATAACCACTTTGACTTGGTGTTCTCTTCTTTTTATCCACTTTAACCGTTTTGGAATACATCTCAAAGCAAGAAATTGTTTGAAAAGATCTATGCATTAATATTGAAGAATTAGAAGCATTTTATCTCAACGTTCAACCTATAACTCAATTACTGGGCTAAGATTTCTTCAATAAGATGTTGTTTAAATATGAAATAAGGGCAGATTTGGTGTGTACCTTGTGTTTCATTTAGCTTTGGCCAAACAATTTGCAGGATAATTTGCACCATTTTTCACAAAACGGGTCATCTTCTCCACACCTAACATCTAGCCAAGAAAAGAAAAATGCTTCAATACCCAGAAATATTTTTAAGGGAAAAAGGAGGACAATTATAAAGTCATGTTTATCTTAAGAAGAGAATTCATACCTAACAATATGAGATAAGACTATGATTTTTCCCCAAAGTCTTGCCTCTGACTATTCTACATATAGAAGGCCAAAACAAAAAAACAAAAAAAAACAAAAGAAAAAGAAATCTAAATATAGAATACCTTCATATCACAGTTTTTGGGGTAGCCATTTACATACCTGTCTGTCGCAGAAATCCAAAATATCTCCTCCAAACCAATTCAATGTTGAAGCCACAGGCTCACCAGTCGCACTCCATCAAGATCTTGTTTCCATTGCAGAAGCCCTTCCTCAGCGGCACTTCTGCTCCCTCTCCTCTTGTTAACTCAAATTCTTCCTTTAACAGAACAAAGAAGAAGAATGTTAAGCTTGGCTCTGTTCTTACTAGCATCAAAGCAGTAGCAGGAAATGCTACTGAGAAGGCTGTTATTGTGAAAGCTGTTGTTACTGTTAAGCAAACTACCGGCAGTGTTCTCTCAAATATTGGGATAGAAGGAGGGTTAGACCTTGTCAAGGACTTGTTTGGTAAAACTCTGCTCTTGGAGCTTGTTAGCACTGAGCTTGACCCAAGTAAGTCTTGATTATTTCAAAACAAATAATCATAGCCAAATTTAAGTTGTAAGATTGGTTAATTAGAAAGCAAGTTTCTTTCTGTGTTTTATAGAGACTGGATCAGAGAAGAGTACAATAAAAGGAAATGCACGACAAGTGAGCAAGGAGGGTGAGGATGTCAAGTATGAAGCAGAGTTTAAAGTTCCAACAGGTTTTGGAGACATTGGTGCCGTTCTGGTTGAGAATGAGCACCATAAAGAGATGTTTTTTGAGAGCATAGTCCTAGATGGTTTGCCAAAAGGGCTGGTTACCGTGAATTGTGGTTCTTGGGTTCATTCCAAGTATGATAATCCTCAGAAGAGGGTCTTCTTCACCAATAAGGTCAGAAATTACTTTGCCTGTTTAAGCCTTTATGTTTATGCACGCATGTCATCACCAATTATGCCTATGCAAATAAATCCTTCAAGCATAAAGCCACAACTACAAACATTATGCAACTTAATACAAACATATGCACTCGTAAATGATGACCGTGCTAGAATTCTTGGTTGATTCTGCTGTTAATGACCCAAAATGATTATATATTAGGGATTACTTATGAGCATAATTCCTCACAAAACCCTCCTGTAACATACAACCAGAAAAATAAGCATTCTAATAGACCTTTTAACAAACACCTATTGTGCGAAGAAACTCAGCAACACTCATTATCAATAGAACGCATAATCAAAAGCTATTGA